ATAATTTCATAGTAAGTAAGTAAAGTAATTCTAATGTAGAAAATTTCTCTTAAAAACGCAGTAGAAGCGGTTCATTGTCTTGGTTTCATTATTTTTCAAGATGCATTGGTTTCAATACTCCTATAAGTTCCACATGATCCCATCTCTTTTTAATAGTCACTTTCTTATTTCAGATTTAAAAAAAGTTCATTTTTACAAGACAGAGTCCTGGTTTAGAGCAAGATGTACTGTGAAGAGAGATGAACTTTGTGATTTTTGAAAGACCCACAGTGCTCCCTGCTGGTGAAGGAGAAAACAGCAAGATGAATCTGAAGCTGCACACACAGAAGCTACAGCCTACAGACTAGCATGTGTATGTGTTTTAACGTGCATGTCTCAACCTCACATGAGTTGCGTGCACTCAAACCTCCAACTACATGGGAGTCTCCCTCATCGACCTCCCGGCCACAGAGAGAGCTCTGGCGTAACGGTTTCCTCCAAGATTTTGTCTGAATCATGGACAAGAGACACCGAGCGAGAGAGAGACAGAGAGAGAGAGAGAGAGAGAGAGAGAGAGAGAGAGAGAGAGAGATGAAGAGAAACCTGCATGGCCAGTGGGCAACTTCAATAAAAGACAATCTGACTTTTCAGAAGCTATAATAATCAAGATCCTCCCACCGAGGTTGTTTGTCTGAGGGGGACACGGATGGCTACGGGTAAGGAGGAGGAAATTCAGAGCGGTAATTAATAGTCCTAAGTGACTGCTGCTGGATGGGAGGCAGGGACAGGGTTTGTTGTTACTGTGAGCTGGTACTATGTCCCCCAGCGTGTCCCACAGCCTCGTGGGTTGGCATGTAAGCAGAGGAGGAGGAAATGGAGAAAGTGCCTTTATTACTTGTTCGTTTGTCTCCGGGGCCTCTCCTGATCAGCCAGAGACTCAACCACCCTCCTTCTGAACACACACACACACACACACACACACACACACACACACACACACACACACATGTTCATGCCTTCCAATGCTAATCTCGTGTCACAAATGTTAAGGGAAAGACACGAAATGCCACAAAAATGTCATCACACCACTCCTGTCACTGGCTCATCCAACCCTTCCATCCCCCTTGTAAACATATTCAAACATACACTCATTTGCATGTGTTTGTGTGTGATGGAGTGGGGGGGGGGTGGAGGTACCAGCTTGTTGTTTTTAGCCTTTGGGTGCCTGTTTCTGCGTGGAGCAGCAGGGTGGTTTCCTATAATCCCATCACTGTTGTCGTCATGAAGGCCCAAAGGCCCTGCCCGGGGATGCGACATTTCTGGCATCCTCTGACTCTCCTCCACTACAAGAGCCAGCAGCTCCGGAGCCAAAAAACACACTGTGCGGACTACCACTAGTCATATAGTAGTATCAGTACTACACTGGTTGAAAGTGACTTAGTGTATAGTAAGTCTAGCTTGGAAATGAATGAGAAACATGTAATGGAGATGTAAGGTACATTAAGGAACACTCACACTGGAGCTGAAACAATTAATAGATTAGTTAGTTAGAAGGAAATGTATAGGCGACTATTTTGGGAATTGAATAATCATAAAAATAATCATGTAAAAAGTAATTTTTCTGGTGAATATTATTTGGTTCCAGGTCTCCAATGTGAAGATTTTCTGCTTTTCTCTGTTTCATGCAATCGTAAACTGATATCTGGTTTTTGGACTGTTAGTGGGACAAAACAAGACATTTCATGATGCCACCTTGGGCTTTTGGTAAACTGGGACAGGCATATTTCACCATTTTCTCAAATTTTATAGACTAATTACTAAAATGTCAATGTAATTACTAAAAATAAACAAAAAATAGTTATACCAGATTATTTTTCCTGTGGCAAATGGTTCAAATCAAAAGGAGAGTCATGAAATAAAAACATACCCCTCAAGAATTTGTATTTTACAGCTATTAAAAAAAGTAATTGTGCCAAAATGTTTATATCATGATTGTGTTAGCTGAACTCACTGTGCTATATTACCCATTTACTAAAATCTATTTTCACCTTTTCTTCAAAGAGTCGACCATGCATCAAGCTCTTTGGACAAGATCAAATCAAAAATAACACTTGACAGGAGGAAGGAAGGTACAGGCAGCACTCCGACACCCATGCATCTTGTCTGTCTTCATCTCGCAACTTGCAGCCTTCTCCCAAACTGTCACCCAGCCGCCTGGCGCCCGTCCCCATGTTCACTCCCAGTGGGGATCCGACCTAGCACCAATATGCAATTTCACCAATCTGTGCTGACAGCGTTCATGTCGACTACTCACAACCAATCCCTCCTTCTGAGACCATCTGTGTGGTTAAAATACAGTATTTCAGTCAGAGAGCTTTCACAGGTCATGAAAGGTAACAGAGGAGACAGGCGGGGCTGTGGCCCTGCATCCCGGGCCAGACAAATCAGTGTAACAGCATATTGTAAGCTACAGACTAAGCAGAGGGGGATATATCTACCAGGACTGAGGCTGTGTTTATGGCTATGCCTGCCTTGGGAAGCCCCACGGCACTATCGGTGACCCCCACTGTAGATTTCCTTACTAATGTGACCCCAGATTGTGTATCACAATCGGCATGAGAAAACTCCCACAGGCTACAGTTAGTCCTGGGCACAGGGGATCGTTGTCCTCAGCCCGCCTGAGTACAGACAGGATGTGGCAGCTTGGAGGCATTTAGTTAAAGGAGATGCACTTTAACGCTGCAGGCATGCATTTATGGAAGCCCTACTAGGGTGAAAGTGTATGACGTGCTGGAGCCTATACACAAACAGCAAAAATGGGAGGTTGGATAAAAAAGAAAAATACAGAGAATTAGCCTTACCTTGTTCCATGGCATCTAATCATTTGTGATAGTCTGTGTACTCATTCTTATAATTAATTTGTTTTCTGGGACAGCTTTTTCTCCACAAATTGGGTTTAAAAATATCATCTGTTCTTTTATATTAAGTACACACGGTGAGAGGGAGATATGTGGATGCATGGGTATGTGCAAGGCAATAAACATCAATGAAAGCAGTTCACATGAAGCACAACTGCTGCCTATATGAGAATCAAGAGGCCCTAGATACTCATAAGTTGTAGTGCTTGTCTGCTGGACTAGTATGACCCAGGTATTGATAGTTATCTTATTATGTTCAGATATTTAGTGAGTTTGATATTCACAGTTGACTTGCTATGTTAACATTGATTCTATGTTGAAGTATGATAAGAAGCATGACAGCACTGGAAATGCTCCAAACACCCTAAGACTATTGAGTATACAGTATAACGTAAGTCAGTAATGAGAGTATCTTTTAGACAATCTGGTAAAAGACAGAGAGTCTGTTAATATTGTCTCTGAACAGAACAGTGTAGTCTTGTATACTGGCCTAATAAAATTAAGGCATTTAGCATGTCACAGTAGGAAACTGTCATGGCTTACTGAGACACTTGAATACAACAGAGCCTTCTTTACTGTCATTAGTTATCCTGCGCTTTTCCTACGAATCTAAATGTCTGCTTTGAAAAAAGGCCTACTGTATAGTAATGGATTGAAAATTATTTCCTCCAATTAAGTGGTTTCACAACTCCACTCTGAAGCAGATTTCCATTTTTTCACTCTCACTTTGTCACATGCATCTAATGGCTCCCTTGTTTATTGCACTGGACAGTTTGCTCCTGTACACAAATCTAGTGGTGAGCGTTTTACTCTACTTTATACTGTACTCCACTACATTTATTTGACAGTTTGAGTTACTTTGCAGATTAAGATTGATGAGCATATGTAACAGTAAAGTAATATAGAATGTTAAACTACCCAATAGCTGATAAAATAGTTCAAATTAAATCCACCATAACCAGCTACAATGATAAAATGTTAATGCAGCAGTAATAATAATAGAGTAAGAATATAATAATATAACAGTGACAGGAGCAATTCATCCTGAGTACTTTTATCTATACTTTTGTTCTTTTACTTTAAATTCACTGTAAGTAAACGCCCTCATACACTGCTGTGGAAAGAAGTAGTCACAGTGGGCTTCAGTTTGGGACTCACCGGCCTGTGTCTCCCTTACTCTACATCTCTTGTAGATTTTATTGCAGTCTGAAGGTCAATGAAGATCCAAAATATGAATGTGATTTGTCATTCTGCAGACATCACCTCCAGCCTTGTCATCCAGGTGAGCTGTTACAAAGTGGGACCGCTGGGGCTGGAAAGAAAGCTTGTAGTGTGACACCTTAGTCCAGCTGTCACTCTGTGTGGTGTCACACAGACACAAACAGTTGGACAGTATATAGTTAATAACCCCAGTTTTGAGTGACAGGTGACATTTCGTTATAGAGAAATCGTAGAGGCACAGTGCACATCCAAATAGACATGACACACACAATGTCACAGCCAGGACAGGGAAACTTTGCTGGAGGACTTCAGACTGAAACTCCAGACTTTCCACTGTCATTTTGATTCCGCTTAGCCACAAACCCTCATGGAGAAGTTCTGCAAAACCAGACATGTTACTATGAACTGGCAGGATTGCATAACACAGATTTTTGACCAGTTCACCCCACGATGCTGTCCTGATAGGGAGGAGGGTGGGTCTATCTTCCATCCATTGCAACCTTTGAAATGAAACCTTTTGTAATGTTGAATATTAAACCTAAAGTAAAGATTTTAATTTCTTATTATTATTAACACTTATCCATCCTGATAACACTTTGAGGTCACAAACTCTGTTTTTATAACTAATATTGTATCAAACAAATCAAAGAAATCATTTGTTTTAGTGTTAGAAGTAGTAACATAATATGGTATTTTAATTTAATTTGCAGTTTCAGAGTCGAATATTTTATGTCTATTTTAGTTTATATCACAGGTTATTGAACAGATGATGGCTCATTCACTGATGCAACGTAATGAAACACCCACATGCTGTGTTGTCATTGGTTAACTCTACAGTCAGTCAAACCGTGGTGGGCGGGAGTTGAGACTTTTACCCAATCAGCTCACACGCCCGGTGCACTGCCCCTCCGACAGTCAGAAACATGGCGTTACGGGAGCTATCGTCGCTGGAGAAATTTTTAGGATTGAAAAAGCCGAACAAGTACAGTACACAGGGGGATAAAAAGGTGACATGACCGTTCATCTTTGTGGCGTCCACTGTTGGTTTTAAGTCGCTATTTAATTTAATTGGAAGCCTGTAAGTTATTGTAATTTAGCACACAGTAGCTAGCTAGATAGTGCTAACACGCTAGTCATGTGTGTTGAAAACACAGGCAGTCATCGTGGCATATCTCCCCTTGTGTTATCAGTCAGTGGCCATTTTCATCGGTTAGGCTGAGCAGAGAAAATCCAGAAAGTAACATTTGATACCAGCTGTCTGATTTTCACAACTCTGCACAATGGAAATAGCTCCATGCTCTGCGCATGCTCGTCCACAGACGTAGAGTGAGGGGAGGGGAGGGGAGGGGAGGGCTGTCACTGTCTGCATGGTTATACTGTAATACTGTGAAATAAACTGATGACTGAGAGGGGGAGGAGGGGAGGGCTTTACTGAAATATAAAACAGCAGAATCTTTAAGGAAACTGTTGAACAATTATTCTTTTATCCTCACATTGAGCACTTTAAACATTCAACCACATTTAACAGCATATGAGACACTCCCTCAGAGCCAATTCATGAATGTGTTGGGGGTTTTTCCCCCATCTTAATTGTATGTGTTAAGTTAGTTAGAATCAGATTGAATTAAATTGTGTTGTTATTCCCCTTTTTCCTCTCTCTGTACATCTCGCTGCCCTCTCTCTGTCACACTTCTCCCTGCAGGTACCTGTACTACAGAATAATAATGGTCCTCCACTGGTGGGGCTGGTGACCATCGCCTGTCATTTGGTGAAAGAGGCCAAGCGCCCAGAGCTGCTGGGTGACTCTGCAGAGAGCAGGGCTGTGGTGCAGCAGTGGCTGGAGCACAGAGTCACCAAGCTGGACGGCTGCACAAAGGAAGACATCAAGACAATCCTGAAGGTAGAAATGCCGATAATCAAGGAAATCTTTAAAATCTTGTTTTTCCAAATTCCTGTTGTATTGTGTCTGCAGACTTAAATGTGTCTGTACTCTGTACCCAGATTTGAATGCAGTTGATTACAAGTTAGCTTTAAAAAAAATTCAGCTTTTCCTGCTTGATAGTGCTGATTGTTATTATATCTTGTTTTTTCATTCCCTACCTTTGAGAGGCGCCACAGCATTTTGTTTTCTCTCATATTCCCTTTCTCTGCCCACCAGCTAGGCCACTGTGCTTCTGTGTACGTGTGTTTGTCTTGTTGAGGAATACAGACTGATGTATGGCCCTTCAGTGACATGGCCCCACATGACAGAGAAAAATGTTTTAATGTGCCTGACGCCAGTCAGCGTGAAATGGATCGCCAGCCACTGGTCTTCTGGACGCTAGGCGCCTCTTGGCACTGTCATGTCAGCTTGAAGTGTCTGTGTGTCTGTCTGTGTGTGCGCGTGTGCACACTTCTCAGCGTGACACACTGTTGTGGCATGGCTGAGGAGTCATGCTGTGTAGCGGCATGTTATCTGGACAGGCCTCTTAAATATTTTAATGGTGCCACTTACAGAAGGAAGTCGCCTTGAGCAGCTCAGCTCTGGTCCCCGGTGGCCCCCTGTCCTGTCCTGCTGCTTTAGCTCTGTCCTTAACACTCTTCTTTCACCACACCAGTCATCTCCCATTAGATTATCCAGAAATAAAAACTGTCAACTGCAGGAGTTCTTAAACTTTCTCACCCCAGGATCCCAAAGAATAATTCATAGTTTTTCCTAGCAGAGACTTGTTTCTGAACATCTTCACTCGTGTAATGTGACAATAAACAAGCAAGACCACTTTGGCCCTGAACCCAGAGTTAGCTGAATAAATCAGACTAGTACTTATTGGGTGACTTCCTGTTGGCTCAGGAGTTGATTATTATTGGTTTCATGAGGCAAATGCTCTAGCATACAGCCAGTTACATCTGGGCGAGTTCCCACTTTGTCTTTAGTCAATGGAGAGCACCATGTACTGCATCAACATGCTTTCAGATTTCTGAGTTATGGTGGCTCTCTGTGTTTGTCAGAAATCTATGCACCATGAATATGAAATATAGAAAACATTTTCATTTGAGAAAATAGTTAATGGTATTCGGAGTAGAGTTGAGCAAGTAGTCAGCTGAAACGAGTATCCAGTACGGATAATGCACTTTTTACGATAACGAGTATCTTTAGAGTAATATGTGTCAGTATGTATGTTCTAATAAACAATAAATATAGCTACTTTTATAAAAACAAAACTAGTTCTCTTATGACTGTGATCAAAACATTGCTCCAATAAATATAGCATGATGATCAACCCATATCAATATCAGGCTTGAATAACAACTTCCAGGTAGTCCCACCCACATCCGATTTAAGACTCGTCTATTTTAAGTACGGCTATGGATAAAGATAATTTAGATGGTTGAACAGATTCAGATAACAGTGTACTCGCTCATCCCTAATTTGGACAACACAATCTTGAGAGTTCTGAGCTAGGCACCAAGAGTAATGGAAGCCTGAAGGCCAGTAGAAAGTAGCGCTGGGACAGTAAACCCACTGTGAGGTCACTCTGTTTTAATCTTATATGTGGAAAAACAGATAAAATAGACAATGCTCTCTGGGTCATTCTGACAGCAGTCAACAACTGACCACAGTAGCTATAGAAAAATAAATGTGAACAAAGACATGCAGTGAACTGAAATAGTAATATACATATATATTTTGTGCATTATTCTTTGTTATTAGTTCCAGTCTAATGTAAAAGTGAACAGCTGTGCCTTTCTAGCTCGTACATGACCCACCCCAAAGGGCAAAAAAAACTGAAGAATTCTGTGTTTTGAAGTTTTCCCTTAAGTCTGTGGTTGTACAACAGCACTTTATCTAAATTCTGCTACAAATGTTTCCTGAGTTGTTTTATCTGAATGTACCAATGATGGAGTGCACAGTTAAGGTGGGGGCAGGTAGAGAAGAACCCAGGTTTGGAGCTTCATGTGTTGGGTGGGGGTGGCAGGAGAGCTGCCTCTCCTCTGATGCTCGACTGGGCTTCAGCTCCGTGGCTGTAGGCTAAGAAAAGCAAGGATCTGATTGTGGAAAGGGAGGAAGTCTGCAGTCTTCATGCCTTGTTTGGCATCACCCACTCTTGCCGCACAATAACTCCATTTGCCCCCAAGATGCTCTGTGTGCGTGGAGTGTTCCCTTCGCACAATGTACAAGTGCTAAAGATGGTCCCTTCCCCTGGGACCAGCACTTCCATGCACGACTTTGCACACACAGACATGGACTGAGAAACACACATCATGATGCCCAAGTTTAGGACAGCTTCATTAATTTGCAGGCGTGAGTTGTAGTAATTTGGTAGCTGAGTAAACAAATAGCCTGTTTTGTACAGCATCTGTGTTAAGTCGCCAGTCATGCTATACCCCCTCAGGTTACATATTATTCCTATCCACATAGCAGAGTGCAGACACACACACACGCAAGCTAGACTCCACACTCATCTACCTCACGCACCCACAGATATATAGGTTAACGAACCTGCTGTCATACCCCCTTTTAGGTCTGTAGTGTCATCAAGAGAGTAAAATTATTCAAATAAAAATGTCACTTTCATTTCTCTTTTGTTTGTTTTTTTCAACATAAAAGAAAGAAAAGAGTCAGTGTTTATTATAGCTTCATTAGTGATTCACATAAATGTCATTTTCTTCCCTAATGAATAATGTATTCATCTGTCATGAGAAGACAAGTGTGTTTACATAGAAATGCATGCCATAAATGCATAAATTAACTACCTCATTTGCATAGCTTTTTATGTTGTCAAAATTCTTCTTGCAGGACCTCAACCTCTACCTGCAAGACAAAGTCTACCTGGCTGGCAACCAGTTCACCCTAGCTGATACTTTCATGTACTATGGAATCCATCCACTCATAGTAAGTCACCTTTTCTCTCACTTCTGCACCTTTAGGTGTTACGATTAAGGTTTTTTTAGTGCTTATTATCACTTAAACTGTAATGTGTCTCCAAAAAAAAGATTTTCAGGTGATGCATATAGTGCAAAGATATTTGGAGATATTTAATGGTTTGGATTAAATTAGATAAGATAAGATCAGAGTTGCTGTTTTTAATAACTTGTGACTTAAAAAAGAGGTACATTTTATACTAATTTCTATGTAACGTGTATGTACATAATATCTGGAGTATTCATTTATTTAAAAGGTCTACAAGGAAACATTCAAAGATTTTTGTAACTTGTAACTGATACAAAAACATAAAGGCACTAAACTTCTGAGAAGAACTTTTAGATTTTCCTTAGTTTTCCAAAGATGTGTGGGATTGCATGTTCAGGGGTGAATGTGATTGATTTGTTGTGCCTCAGTACCGCTCTCACCACCATTTACCAAGGACTCACTCATCCCTTCTTCCATCCCTTTCCTTCTCTATCAGTGCTCACTTCAGTCAGACCACAACTTTAATAAGCAATTTGTCACAGTGCATAACACACAATTAGACCAGTCATTTGGCCAAAGGGCATCAAGAACAAGTTGGCAATAAACACACGGGTTATAAACACATTCTCACTTCTCTTCAGAGAAGTAAAGTGATGTGGCACAAAGTGATGTCTTTAGCCCCAGTCCAGGGACAAGTAAGTTTGTTATGCCTTCCAGAATTCCAAAAAAAGTGAGTTCAGAAATGGGAAAGACGGAATGAGATGGAGGGAGGGGAGAGATCACATGTTGAGAGATGTCAGCGGTTGTGGCGGAGATGGAGTGTTGCCCCCCGCCACCAGGCAGAGGAGCGTCACTTTGGTTTGCAATCAGTGTGGTTTTTAACCTGAGGGACAAGGGGTCAGCCAGCCCAACCCTTAACCACAGCCTGTCCTGATGTTCAATTCATGGAAAACAACATTACACAAACATTAAACCTGACTGATGCTAGAATGGTTTTAGGCTGGATTGTTTGTCTGTGTGGAGAATTTCCACATTCCAGTTAATTAGATGATGAAAAAGCACACACACCTAATAAGATTTCTTTTCCAAGGACGTCCTGATGCATTCTGGTATTATGCTTTGACACCTGCGTTGTGCAATATGCCTGTTTTGATACAAACTTGTCAAACAATGGCAGTTCCTAGAGCACTTTAAATAAGCTTTGCCCTACAGTAAATGTATATGCTTACACTTCATTTGTGGTACTGAGAGTGACTAGTGCAGTGTCACAGAGGGTCTTTGCTGAGGCCTGAGAAATTGTTATCAGTTCAGAGGTTGTGATTGGTTAATAGTTGCCATTACCATCAGAGACACATACATTTAGTATCTGGTTTGGAAGTTTCTTCCATCTTCCTTCCTTCCTTTCTTTCAGTGGTTTCCAATATTTTTGGCTTGTAACCCTGTTTACTTGTGACCCATCATCACAAGTTATGAGTTCTGATCAGTTTGACTTAAGAGGGATTTTTCCATCTCCGTTTCTTGTGGCCTGAAGTAAAAGTATCCAGTATTTGACGAACAAAATTTGCAAAAAGTCCGAACAAAATAAACGGCAATAAAAGAACCAAAAATTCATTTAGAATCATCTTGTGACCCCCCTGGTCTAAATCACACTGACACATTGATTTGTTTTCAAATGAAACAGATCATCTCCTCATACAAATGTCCAATAAGATCAAATGCCTTAACATTGCTGAATTACATAATATTAAAGCATGATGCCTTTCACCAACGGTGTATTCTGTATAAAATACCAGTGTCAACGTCACCTCCTCCTCTGTCACCCAGGTGGACTTGGCCATCCAGGAGAAGGAGCAGTACATGAATGTGACACGATGGTTCGACCACATTCAGCACTATCCCGGCATCCGACACCACCTCCCTCCCGTAGCTGTGCTCAGGAACAGAATTTACACCGGCAGACACCACTGAGACCTGACCCCACCCAACCCAGCCTGACTCATCACAAGCTCGTCCGTCTTTTGGACTGTACCTGGGCAAATTATTTCCTAAAATCATTGTCCTAAAATCGATTTGAGGACGTTTCCACGTAGTCACTTCTATCCAAGATCTCCTTTTATTCCTGTTTTATCGGATCACGATTCCTGCCTTTATGTTGTCCTGGTCACATCCATGAACTCGACCTGTTTGATCTTTTGGATTCAAAAATATATAAATGTCAAACCACAAAAATCTGTGAAGAACAAAACAACTTAAAATGTTTTAGTGTCAAAGGTACTGCAACTCCATGAAGGGATTACCGGCTAATAAAAATCTAGTTCAGTTCATATTCTTTAAAATGTCAGTGTTTTTAATAACTATATTGCTGAGCACCATTGGCTGTTGACTTTAAAAAGGGCTGGAAGTGGAAGCAAGAGTCTCTGTCATTCAGCACTGCTAACATTATTTATAAATCATTTGGTGTCTTAACCCTTATTCTGTAACTAGGGAGCACAGATGTGAGACAGTTATGTTGGTCTTTTATGTTTTTTTTTTGTTGGAAATGTTCCAGAGGTCTACGTCCGTATGGTTGTTTTTCAAAGGGAAAGCTGTACGGGTTGCACTGAAGTGAAGTGCTGCTAGCTTGTTAAGAAGTTGTTTCTATTTATAAATGGTGATTCCTCGTTTAATCTGAGCCTTGAACATGCAATGATGACAAGCTTTACAGGTTCAAAGAATACTTAATAAGATGTTAACTGGCACTACATTATGTCCTTTAGGAAAAGCAGCATCCTTCATGCCATATCAATGCATTTCTTAGCAGCAGTTTGTTCAAATAAATGCGGTTGCTGGTTCGCCATCATAACCCCATAATGACCACAGTCACTGCTGAGTCCACATTGTTCTGCCAGCTCTCCTCCCTGATGAGTATAGTCAGCCTCTCTCAGCTCGCATCTCTATCAGGACTGTTGTGTTTGTTTTTCACATGCGACTCTCAGCCATTTCACTGGACAGTTTAGTTTCTGTGTGTGTGTATGCTGCCGATTACATCCCCGCTCTCTGTCCCACTTCCTCACCACCAGTCGTGTGGGCAGCAGTGAGCAGTTGAGCGTCAGCCCCAGAGTCAGAGATCAGAGTGAGGCTCCAATCAGTCCCACTACCACCACTGTTGATGCTGCAGGCCAGAGAGAGGGCAGCGGGCTCACCAGCTGCCACACAGATCCAGCCAGCCAAGGCCAGAACCCGGGCCCCTGGGCGACAGTCAGCCACTGTGTGTCATTTCAACCCTCACGCTCCCACGGGGCTACTGGAGAGAGAGGGACGCAGGGAGGCTGCGAGGGAGGGAGGAAGGGAGGGCGGGAGGAGGAGGGAGGCCACAGAGAGAGAGAAAAAGAGCACCCAGAGGCCGAGGGATCTTTTTGTGACATGTGAACAATGATCTGTGCGTCTGAAAGCCTTACTGCTGCTGGCTGGGTGTTTGCTATTAGCTGTTACCATTAACAGGTCAAGTCGTGGCAGAGGCAGAACCTGTAAATTAACATGATGAAGGTAATGATCAATAGACAAAGAACAGTACGAAAATGAGAAACAATAATTTCATTAGCTCTTCGTTGCTTTTGCTGATGTATTAAACCAGAAACACTCGTAGACTAGAGCAAAACAGTGACCATTCTAGTCTTTAATTCTTATAATACTGGATGCCTTTGTGTTATCCATGTATCTGTTACTCTTTACTGTCTTCTTCTGTTAAAATGCTCTCATTTCCTCCATCCTAACAGGCTCTACATATCTTTGTGTCTTTCGCTTCAGTGCTTTTGTCATCTGATGTAACCAAGATGTTCAACCTGTGCCAATAAATCAAAGGGATACGCATCTCATGACCCCTGACTCCTCTGCAGAGTTTTCAATGTGTGCTTTTACGTATTCTCCAAGAGTTCGTTTTGCGTAAATCAGCCAGAAGACAGAGCGGTTCAATGAAGCTCCGTAAGACGGCCTGCTGTGTGTTTGTGGCAAGTGTGATGAAGATGTGAAGAATAAAAACAGCTTGCAGTCATTTGAGCGAGCCTTATGACTAGTCTGGGTAGTTTATGATGTGGTCTACCATTAAAGAAACCTTTGTCCTCTCGGTTGTGTTAACATTTGGTTGGAATGCTGTTTCCAGTGTGCTTATTTCTGAGGTGTAAATAATGAAGCTTTGCCCACAAAAGTTGCAGCTGGACAAATTGTTATAAATCCTCGTGTTTGTGATGATGCCTTGGTTAGATGCCATGGTTACAGACCATGCAAAGTTAAAAACACTCACTGTTATGGATACCAGTGAGCACCATTTTCTTTTCTTTTTTTAAATACTTGACCATAAAGGGAAGATGCATCCCTTATCTTTCCCATGAAAAGATTCTGTGAGTTCTGTTCTTGTTATGCAAGAATGACCATGGAGCTTTAGCATTTCAGATTAGCAGTGCTACATAGAAACATTTACTCAAATTAAAATTAGAAGAGCCACGTTAGGACGTAATACACTTTTAAAGAGGTCAAGACAACTGCCAGTTAATTGGTATGGATAGCGAAGTCACAATATCTAAATATTTAAATAAAATGCAATTAAACCATCCTTTTAAATAGAACAAATGAACCAACAGCTGCTCTAATTATTGAATTATGAATCTTGAGTGAATTAAAATGTGACTGCAAAATCAAATAATGTAATATATCAAACTACACTAGCTATTTTGTTAACACAATAAAATACAGGTGATTTAACTAACCATTGCATTCATTTTTTCACTTTGTCAGCAGTTCTTTGGAGTGTAGTTAAATGTAACGTTACTTTCATCAAATCAGGAATACTTGGATATTTTCAGTGTTGAGTAGATTGCCCTGCCCGTTTAGGCCAAAAGTCTTTGTTAGAAGACTGTAGAAAATTTATGGAGGATAAAAACGATGAAAAGGTGACACATAATAATTAGAAAATAAACTGGTTAAAACTTCACAGCTTAATGTAAAAGTCACCTCTATTTGAATTTGGTGGGTTTTGATTACTTTTTTTAATAAACTCCAACCAGATGTTCATCAAAGTGCTTAAAAATGTTTCCAACTCTAAAGCATACACAGAAACTACTCTTCTCCTGTGTGGCTTTGCGCTGCAGAATCTCAAAATGCTGGTGCGGTGCGGTCCTCACAGTCCAGTTCCTCCCTGATCAAACCTGAGTGCACTCAAAGCCAGACGCAGTGATGAGGCCACAGCAGGTAACCAGGACAGTGGCACCAATTAGAGGCGACCTCCCTACCGACTTCTGAAGGCGAGGGGAACAGCACTCCACAGGGGCGGGCCCCTGCCTAAAGACTCAAGACCCACCCACTTTGCCAACTCTGCCCCCTACCCCCGGCAGCCTTATTGACCTTAGACCTCTCCCTCATCAGGTGGTGGGGAGAGGTCAAAAGTCAGTTAGGTAAGGTCATCATGGGTATTAACTGATGACTTCATTTCTCACTATGGAGCATTGGTAGGGAGTGGTGGCTCTATGTTTCTCTGTGCAGCAGAGAATGAAAGGGAAGAGGTGGAATCAGCTGTGAAAACTTAATTACACTTTGGTGGTTCTACTGGCAAACAGAAAAGGCTGATATCTCATGTGTTCATACAGTTGTTTATTACTGACAGTACAGACTTTAGAAAGATCCACTAAATCTGGGGGGTATTAGTGCTCTACATGCCCCCCTAACACTCTGATTTGGGGCTTTCCCAGACAACCTTTTGTGACCAATTTAAGCTTAACATAACAGCAGTTATACACACAGATGCACTGACTACAGAGTAGTTAGAAATTCATGCAAGAAGCAGAGCGAAACCAACAAATCAGCAACAGCAAAAATAAGAGTATAGGCCCAGGAAGAAGCAGAATCATGACAATAGTGAATAAATAGTAATACACATTAGGTAATAGGCTGCATATCACATAGAGGCCATGACCCTATCTGCTCCTTTTCCTCGCCTACATCAGTATTGTGTCTGAGCATTACAGAGTCAGAATTAGAGGGAAATAAATGAAGACAAAAGACAAGAAATCTAAATTTCCAGAGGTGCACTGCAGGACTATACATAGCCCGATTTATCACATTGATAGAGCACTTTGGGGAAATGAAATGTGAGAGAAAGAGCAGAATACACTGGCCATCGCCGCTTTGAAAGCACATTTTTGAATAATGCTTTAAAAAATAAACAATGGCATGGCTGCGGCCGAAGCTTTATTTTGGTTTTGCTGTGTTTACATTGTTTATACATCTGACATGCCTTGAAATTGATATCATACAGTCTGAGGGTTTTATTAAACAAACAATCTTGCACACTGTGATATGCGGGATAAGATCACTGTTGTGTCAGTGTGTGTGGACTTGAAAGTCCTCATGAAACTGCATCAAACATCGAATTTACGTTGTGTGCCATCATCATCTGTTGCCTCCCAATGTTTCCTGTCACCTTCCACTGTCAACTCTTCAATAAAAATGTCGATGAGCTGACGATTCCAGCTTCCAGTCACACTGTGTAAAGGTCCACAGATTCATTGGGATCATAACTAATACCAATAGTATCAAAAAGCATGAAAGCAGTGCAGTCACTGCCCCGTACTGAGGCAAAAGCTGCAGGACTTATTCCAAACAGGTGTCACTGTTTCCCCTTTATAATGAGGGAAGAGTTATGTATTCAGGTTTTGCTTCATCATCATCTCCCAACACCTTTGCCACCTTGTGTTTACTAACCATATTGGATAGACGGCCCCCACACCGCACATGCAGCAACAAACAGCCATGCAGCTGCTACCACCCTTCATTAGTTCTTATTAACAACATCAGGCAGAGCAGGACTCCCTGTCTCTCCGCTGACTGATGCAGTGGAACAATCAACACCGTGTGGTGGTGAGAGGAGCGTTAGCATGTCGTAAGCTCTTTTGACAGGACTTATCGGCCGCGCTTCAGCGTGGCCTTACACATTGTGACAGTTGTACCATGTGCCTATAAAGATGGCATCTGATTGTCTATTGCAATTACATGAGTGCATGAGCAAGGACGCAGCTATGACGGGCACAAGGAGGGAGGGGAGGGGGGGCATGTGTTGTTCACAACATGTTCTCGCTGTAGTTATTCCTGTAGACGCGAACGAGACAAATGTGTCTATCTCTCGAGGAACGACATTCTATCTCCAGTGTAGAATATCTTCTATACCTTCTATAAAATATAAAATCTTATGAGCAAGTACAGAATAATTCTCAGTTATAATTTATCTATTTTTCTGATGTATTTGGAATAACAAGTTTAACATTTATGGAATAGTGTAAAAAATAGTGATTGATGCTCAGCAAGAAGAGTATTAAACTGGGAGATTTTTATTTCAGATGCCAGGTCTTCCTTACTATACCTCTGGAGGTGTTTAGGATTCGGCTAATAAAACATCTGTCATGTTAGGGGATGACTTGACAGCCTCAGTAATGCAGATATTAAAGGATAATTCTGGTTTATTACAAGTCGGATCTTGTTTTCTGAGTTTTGCCCATTTTAGGGTTGCGATAACGCTGTACTCACCGAGTCAGCGGCAAACATTTGGAAATACCTGTGACGAAAGTCAAAAGAAGTCTGGCCAGGCAAGAAACATAGACAGTCAGAGAGTTCTAAAGACTGTAAACAAATCTCCAGGTTAGCTGGAAGAGACATAATGAAGCTGTAGCTGTGTCTGGCAGTTTCTGCTTGCAAAGCCATTTCCCACACAATTACAGCTCTCTATCACAGTGAATGATTGTAGTCTGATTGTTAAAGTCGATGTAAATATAGCAACGGCAGCGCATGTTCTCATAGGCGGATCTTCCCACTGTTGCTTGTAACACAGAGCGTAACACAGAAAGGGTTCTTCCTCGGCCCATGCTACACCCTTCCACCAAGTTTCATGAAAATCAGGCCAGTTGTTTTTCTGTCTCCTGACAACCCTAACCCTAACACATAAATAAAGGCCTACTATCCCATCCGTAGTTTTGAATGCAAACTGTTTTCCTAAGCAAGGAGGAATTACTACCAACATTTTGAGTGTGTTCATTGTCCATTTTACTGCGAAATAATGTGGTTAGATAATTTGGCTGAACTGTTGGCTTGTTTACAACCTGTCTAATTCAATAGAAATGGCTGCCAAAGCTCAGAAAAGAGACTGAATGTAATAAAATAGAAGCATCCTTTAATGTTTTGAGCAGGGGGCTTATGAATTCCTTCCTTATAGAGGAATGTATACTCTGATCAGCTCTTTTGTCATCATGTGTGGAATAGTACATCATTATTTTAATGAGTGAGTCAGACAGCTGTTTGATTGCTTTCCTCAGACTATGGCTCAAAGGGTTTTATATCACTATAGTGAATCTGCAAATACCAGTTTACCATAAGCATGTATCAATTCCAGCAGAACTTCATACAGTTTTGTTTTTTTATCCTCTCTGTCTCTCTCTATCTCTTGCGAGACTCAGCCTCACCTTGGATTGCATAAGGATCCCAGGTGTGCAGCGAGACCGGAGTTTTTACGAGATGCAACCGCTCAGCTCATCAATCAGAGAGATGGGTGGCTGATTCGGCACGTTGGTGCTAAAGTACATATGTGTGACCCGGGGCAAGGAGATTGCACAAGATTGCACCTTAAGTCTCTCTCTCACACACACACACACACACACACACACACACACACACACACACACAGATAACTGTTGTTGAATTAGCCGCCTCGATCGCTCCTCACCCCTTCTGCTGATCTACCTCAGCTGCAGCTTCTTCACATTTTTCTGTGTGTGTGTGTGTGTGTGTGTGTGTGTGTGTGTGTGTGTGTGTGTGTGTGTGTGTGTGTGTGTGGTCATGCACCCATT